AATGCTGCAGGGCGCTTTTGGAGGGGGTGGGGGGGCGGCTCAGCTTCCGCCCCCCGGCACTGAACAGGCTCCAAATGGAAATGCAGAGCCAGGGGACTGAGCTGGCCCTGACGGCTGCTCACTGCCGGCAGCTCGGCTCTGTCCTCCGGAGACCCAACTCAGGCAGGAGCTGAGAGCAATTCAGGAGCTGCTGGGCCAAGCTGTGTCCCACTAGCTTGCTGACTAGCTTGTCCCTTTGAGGGACACATGGTGTTTTAGGGCCTGATCCTGCCCCACTGTGGAGCAGCTCATTGGCTTAAGAAGGGGTGGTAGTCTGGGCAGCAGCCAGGTTGTATCTGCACCCCTTGAGCCTTCGAACGCAGGAAGGGGGTAGGGAGAGGGACCTGAGCTCCCTCTGTCATCATCGGTCACTGCATTACGGACCCTTTTTTCCGGAGAGGTTGGTGCTCCATGTGGAGGCAGCAGAGGGACCCTGCAGGCAGGCTGAGTGTGGGGTGATTTTGGCTGGGATCACCCTCCTGTGTCACTATCAGCCTCGTGTAACGTGTGCTCCCTCTCCCCCCCTTCCTCCCCTCTCTCACTGACACCCACGTGTGTGCCCTCCCTCAACCCCCTCCCCCAGCACTGCCCCGGCCACCCTCCCACTGCCACCTGCGCGTCCACACCCTGTGCTCGCCCACTCAAACCCCTCCACGCACCCCCGCGGCTGCCCCTTTGCCCTGGACGCACGCTCCCCCGTGCCCGACGGGCCCTGGATGCCCGGCCACGGGGACCGTCTCCTCCCCAACCCCACCCCTCTGTGCTCTCCTGGCTGTTACCCCTGAAGGTTTGGTTTCAGAACCGAAGAGCCAAGTGGCGGAAGCGGGAGAAGTGCTGGGGCCGGAGCAGCGTGATGGCTGAGTACGGCCTCTACGGGGCCATGGTGAGGCACTCCATCCCTCTGCCCGAGTCCATCATCAACTCCGCCAAGAGCGGGCTGGTGGGATCCTGTGCCCCATGGCTGCTGGGTAAGTGGGAGCTTGGGGCTGGGGGGGGCAGGGGGCAGCTGCGGGGTGAGCGGCCCTTCCTCTTTCATATGGATGTCCTTGCCTTTTCCCAGCAAAGAACAGGGCCTCGGCCATGAGCTGTACGCAGGCTGCCGAGCACCCTGGCTTTTCCACTCCTTCCTTGCAAGAAACGGCTGGGAAAGGGAAAACCTTTTACTGCCGTGTCAGACAGGTGTCTGCACGTGGTTGGGTACAGTTAGCTATATAGCTTTCTAGTGCTAGCAGCCAGTGTGGGAGTCGCAGGGTGTCTAGGAAGTCATCACCCTCCCCCCCCCAAACTGAAGCCACCCTCTGCTCATACAAGGTCCTACGCTGAGGTGGCACTCGAAATCCAGGCTGGGATGGGCTGTCACAGCACCCCTCTCCCCGTAAGTCTTCCCCGCTGCAGGAGAGGTGTGGACCAATTCTGCCGCGAGCCATCCTCTTGGGCTGCAGAGAGCAGGTGGCAGGGCTCCGGGTCGGGAAAGGCTGGTAGCTAGCATGAGTTTTCCTTGGGATGCAAGCGAGAGCTGAAGGAAGCAGCAGGAGTGCAGGAGGTGATGCTGAGCAGTCCCGGGCAGAAATAAGCAACCGGTGCCCTTGGCTTTGCTCTCTCCCCTCTGCAAGGCATGCACAAAAAGTCCATGGAGGTGAGCAGGAAGGCGGAGAGCCAAGAGAAGCTGGCAGATGGCTGGCGAGCGGAGCAGGAGGAGGAGGAACTCAAAGGGAAGCAGGCCAGTTCCCAGAGGGGGTCCGACAAGCTTGGCCCTGCAAAAGAGTCGGAGGACACAGCCATCGACCTCTCCAGGACAGCCAAGCATGAGAAGAGGGGCGTACTGAGGCAGTGCATCAACGGGGAGCCCCCCACGGAGCAGAAGGACAGGGACCACTGAGCTTGGGCTGCCCCGGAGGAGGCCAGACCTCACAGCTTCCTGGCGAGATAATAATATTTATTGATTTATTGATATATATTTTTTTTTTCTGAAGTAATTGAACTTTTATCTGAATTCAGGGCATTTTAAAACTGGGCACACACATCCCCTTGTCCCCTCACTTTCAAGCTGTTCACTTCTCAGCAGAGCCACGGTGGAGGGTGGGAGAGGTGTCCCAGCGGGGCCAAGAGCCGTACGAAAACGAGACCGCATTGTGGTCAGCGTGGACCGTTGCTGGGGAAGAGCCACCCTTCCCCCTGGGCTGTGAACGCTTCCCCGGCCAGCCAGGAGCACAAAGAGCAGCAATGCAATGGGAGTCGCTCCCTTCTCAAATGCGCGGGTGCAAAGACGGTGCAGGAGTTTACAGACGCCTTCTCTGAGCACTTCCACCCCTGCACAGCGCCCGCGCGGTAAGTCCCTCCGCTTTGAACACACAATTCTTTCACCTGGAGGAGCAGCAGGGTTTTTAAACACGGCAGGGTTCATCCTCAAGCTGGTGTGATCTGACAGGCACGCCAGTTTATACCTCCTGAGGATCTGGCCTGCCAATGCAGCCTTATCACTGGATTTACACTGTGTAGCTTCCTTAACTCGTATTTGGGAGAAGGGGGTAAAGACATTTTTGTTTATGCAATGATTTTGTACACTCTTGAATGTTATCTGCCATACTATGCATAATAGAACAGACCTTTTTCAAAACCAAGCCATAGTACCCTGGAGCAATTGAACAATTTTGTGAATTGACATAAGAAGATATTTTGTAATTGTCTGTAAAAAGTGTTAATGTCAGAGCTGTTTCTTGGTCGTCCTATATTTATGTCTAAAAGCACTTTAGTGATCTGGATTTTTGAATGTGGCTCTTCCTGTTTTGTCCACCATTTATTTATTACACATACATAAATAAAATTGTGGTGTATCTTTGGTTTTCATGCGCTGCATTGCAATTTCTACCTTCCTTTGGCACATCTCGTGGTAGCTGCTAGCTTTGAGCAGATCCTCCGCAGACTCGTGCCTAAACTGGGCTGGAGAGCTCTGCTGAGGCAGTGTAGTTGTTCCAAGGGGGCAAAGCAAAGCACTCGGGTCTCCCCAGAACTGAGGTCTCGTCCAGTGGCCTCCACATGCCAGAAGGTGAGTGATTTGTGCCAGTCAAAGAGCCAAACCACAGCTGATGGGTTAGGAGATGGTCCAAAACGGAGCACGCAGCCAGTTCCTGAGGGAAGTCATGGGGAGAAAGTTGCTCCATTCTCCCAAGGGTTGTTGAAAATCCTTCTCGATACAGCTCAAGCGTGAGGTTCTTCACTGAAATGCAGAGTTGGGCCCTGTGTCCCCACGTCTCTTGCGGTTAAATAAAAGGGGCAGCTGCTCACTTGGGCTAGGTGAACGCACGGTGGGAGGTACTGCTGGGGGCACCTCTGCCTCCCGGGGAGGCACACAGAGCAGCCACGTGGTCCCAACCGCACAAGCACCACCAGTGAGGCACAAGGGCGCCGTGGCCATCCAACTGCCCAACTCCTGGCGGCGATGGGTCTTCACCTCATGGCTGGGCTGAACTGGCCCACGCACGCACCACGACAGCTCTCCTGGAACACCTCCAGTTTCATCTGCTGGCCAAAATATCATGGAAAATTATCAAAAGGTTTTATTAAAATCTGAGTAATTCCAATTTGGAAAGTTTCCTAACGCAGCTCAGGAGGTATGCGGCCATGTAACGATGCTGTCACCTGTCCCCGCCTCTGCTGCTGGGCCTGGCTCCTTGGACACAGGCAGCCACAGGCTGTGCTGGGCGGGGGGGGAGTGGTGGGACGCTGGCTGGGAAGAGCAGAGCAATAAAAGTGGCATCTGTAGATTTCCTGCCTTTCCCCTCCTCTGCTCGGCCAGGCCCTGCCGGGCGGGGAGGAACATATGCATGGCAAATACAAGCTTTGCAGCAAAAAAAAAAAAGTTTGAACGGGGGGGCCATGGGGAGCATGGTTCAGGGAAGGACCAGCCAGGGCTTATTGCAGCAGCAATTAGGCTTGCCGAGGGCCGAGACTTAGCACATTGGATGCCTAATCCTGCCTGAGCAGCATCTGCAAACCTTTTATTTGGGCCGTGCCATGCTGGCACTGGATGCCTGCAATCATTTTTTTTTGCCCTGCCCGCATGCAGATGGCCTGGCTCTTCGCCTTGTGCTGGGTGCAGCGCTGCGAGAGCAAGCACGTCACCGCCACAACTGCTGCAAGGGGAAACACCACAGCCCCAGCCCCGGGCAGGGTGCGGACAACTCTCCTGGTAGGGCCTGGTGGGCTCCCAGCTCTCACCTCACGCCGTGAAGGGGGCGTCACGGGGAGGGCCGCTGGCCCGAGGCACTTTTCCTGTGCCGGGAAGTAACCGCAGGGTGCAGCCAGGTACGCTGGGTCTCAGACGTGCCCTTGCTGCTCCAGTCACAGGGCGAGAGCCCAGGGAAGGACAAGTGAAGGGAGGTGCTGGTAGATGACAGCAGCTGCCCAAGGCTCAGCTCCTGGGTCCCACCAGCCATCTTGGTGACCGCACCAGGGCCTGGCTGGCATGAGCTTCCCTCTGTGAGGGGCCCTGGGGGCCGTCAGCCACAAAGGCTGGGTTTGCTCAGGCGGGAGATCCCTTCGATGTGGCTCGGGCAAGAGGAGTTGGTAACATTGAAGCCACTGTCCAGCAGCCAGCGCTGCCGCAGCCTCACTTCAGTTCATCTGGGCTGCCACCCGCCCTGGCACACCCAGGTCTTTTCACCGCGCCATGTGTACAGCGCTAGCCGGGGACTTAAGCTATCTGCTAAACCAATCATGGAAGAAGGGACGAGTAAAGAGAAAAGGGAATAAAACGAGGTTATTTTGTCATCCCTCAGCTTTTACGGGATTGGAGGCTGACCGTCAGGTGTGCACATCTGGAGGCTGCAAGGAGGTGGAGGGGGTGTCCTGGTGATGGGCGCAGAGCAGGCCAGAACAGAGAAGGCTGCAAGGCTGCATTTGCGGAAGCATCTTCATGGTGCCATTTCTGTACAGCTTAGTAATATTCATTTCTAACTGGCATTTAGTCTCAGCCGATCCTCCCAAGCCGCTGGCTGGATTTTCAGACTGGGAGGTTAGGAAGTGAGTATAAACATTTTATAAGCGCTCCCTCGTGTGGAGCTGGGCGATGGGACACAGCAAGCAGCCCAGGAACAGGGAAGGCCGGCTGGAGTCCTACGGGTAACCAGAAGCCTCCCGCCTTCCCCTCAGTCCAACAGACCCCTGTCTACCTGTGGGGCGACGCAGGGGTGTCTGGATGCAGAATTAAAGAATCCTACGGGGTGTTGTTTTTCATTACTCGCTTCTTGGATCACCAACAGGCACTCGGTAGAAAGAGCAGCCCCTTCCCCAGAGCAAGCCGGGTTCTGGGAGAGGGCACAGGCACTGCTCAGAGGCTCTGCCTTCCTCCAGACTGCTCCTTTCCAAGGTTAGTTCAGCACTAACGCCAATATAAGCACACTCTTACGAACCACGCGCATGTATTCAGCCTGCAAAATCTCACCAGGCTGGCACTGGCGAGGGCAACCTGTTCTGCTCCGGGTGCCTGCCACTTCCCTCTTACTCCACGTTCTGCTGGCGTGAGGCTCAGGGAGGGCAGGGCGGCAAAGGCCTCGCCCGCTTTTTTGGCCCCGTTCTCCCTCGTCCCCACCTTCCGCAGCCTCCGGCTGCGGCCCCGCTGCAGCCTGAGGACGGCGGGGCCGGTGCCACCGCGCCGCTCT